TGGGCCAGTTAGATGTGGCTTCTTCTCTCGTTTGCGTATGCATTGGTTGACATTGGTATAACGATCTTGTTCAGAAGAGGAAAAGGAATAGGTGGTCGCTGGAACCAGACGTTTGTTAGCCTGACGTTTCGGATTCCCCCTTGTGCACCCACTACTCTTTTCTGCAACTGTCTGTAATGATGGATTTGAGTGAGAATCCGAATCGTCAGGTCATTTCTTCTTCTTAACTGCTTCCTGGAGCTCACCTGTTCGCTTCTACAGGTCTCCTGTTTAACTCGTTGTCTGACCATTTTGGCATCGGTGATTCTTGTACCGACTCAAATTCAAGAACTACATTAAAATATATCTTGTTGGGTTTGAATCGCGAAGACCTGTTTACTAAGAAGACAGAGTGCACCATTTATTTTGACAGTAAAACGTTTCACTCGAATCCCTATGTAATTAATAACCACACTGGCAACACAGGTCCTAGCTGAAGGCCCAGACACATTTCTCGTCAATATTCTGCCCCAGTATGGTACAGCTGCGAGGTATTCGGATCGTCGGTGGGTTCCCCAGAATTCCCAGCTGTGTGCTTTTAGGTTGATAGACCAGTTTTTAAATGTCAGCTTTTAAATTTTTTTAGAAATTAACTTTTGAAATTAAAAAACACTTTCAATCGTTTTAAATTAGTCAGGGTATATTTTTCCGATGCATCTGCTCATCGATTTTCGCGGAAATCAACTATCATTCGTAAAGATAACGCTTTTGACTATTAGGCACTTCACATTCGCTCGAAGACAATTATGCATGAGAATTTATCGGTGATGACCTCTCAACGCTCTGTCTCGCAAGACCCCCATTTAACTCGGCCATCCAGGATAGGTTTTTCACCCTGCACGAAGCCCAGGCATGGGTACTCTCTCTGACCTCTTTCGGGTTATATTTTCCAATGACGTTTTGTCCGAGATGGCGGCGGATTTTTCGTCTGTGCTTTATTTGGAAAAAAATAAAAAATGTAACACTATTATGGGAAGAATAATCTGATCCACCTTTAAATGATAAAGAACAAATAAGAATAATCAAACCCTCCTATGTTAAATCACAATTTTGGAGACATTGCAGATAACTTCTTAGGTCAAACATTTAACGATCCATGCAAAAGGGCGTGGACGTTTAGTTCAATAATCATACAGAACTGCCCCGAAACATACCTCCAAAACGGGGTTATTGCCCTTGTCAAATGTCAACGCAACGGTTAGATTGTGACGACGGATGAAAACACTGCAGATAGCAAGTATTCAGAGTGGACAGTTTTTTAGACCTAAAGTATATGCTCAAGACCACCACTAGTCACCTTGGCATTGTCATGCCGTCAGAGCCTGGTATGTGACGAGTGAGAGAGTGAGGTGAATGCTGTGCATGTCAGCCTCGTTATAAACAAATGCACGAGCAATTCATTGATACTTCGCTGAGTGCGTGGGTCACACGATGAACGGCATCACTCGTAGCTGTCAAACTGTTATGTTTAGCAAGATAAATACCATTCGGATATCACCCTATATGACTCAATACATATTATAACTAATTGGAGACGCAGCGGGTGTAGGTTTTCACTTCAGAGTGTTTTTTAAGATAAAATCACGAATGTTCGAGTGCCTTGTGATTTACCGACTAAGAATCGAATCACTGCAATGGCACAGCAGTCCGTTTCTGCAGATTTAGTTGAAAAAGTTTGTTGGTATAGTGAAAAACTGTTCACTCAAAAATTCAAAAACGTCTTTCGCATCTGCTCAAAAAGAGGTCTCGTTTTCTGCAGGAGTTTCTATTACAGCTATCAGGCTAGATCAACTCCAAGTCACCTACTAGTAAACCGAAGCTTTATGCTGGAACTCTGCCGCACGAATGCGGGGGTCGTAAATAAGCGATATTTCAGTTTTCTCTAAGCCCAACTCTCATCGGCCCACCGTTTGGCCATAAAAGCACATGGCATTCGAGTTTCTTTGTCACCAGAGAAGACACCGTCAAAAGGTTGACACTCAGACAGCAGGGCCAAGTTAGTCACAGCCGTCAGCGTCTGCAGCCCAGAATGCCGAGCCTCGCCTGCCTGAAGCACAAGCAGCGAGAGAAGTTGCAGCCATTGTGAGTGCCTATTCTGAAGGTCAGCAAAACGCTCCGTCTTGAAGATCTCAGTGAACAAGCCAACGCTCATCACGCCACCTAGGAAGGAATTCTTGGTTGTCATTGGATGGGGTAGTTGCAGCATGAGCGAATTTCACCTGTTAAGGACCTCTGCATCACGTGACCCCCTTTATAACCACTATCGTCTTCTGCCCCCCCCTCCCCCTCCGCCAAAAAAAACTAGAGGACAACGTGGGCGTGCGCACTGCCTGCGAGTATACTTAGAAGCAAGAGAACGAAGGTGTTGAATGGTCTCAGTTACTGAATCACTAATCGCCTAGCGGTCTCGAAGATGACGCTACAAGTCTTATTTCGGATACAACCTCTACAAAAGGCCGTACTGAGGAATCTACCGCCCACGTGAATGCAGGCTGTGTATCACAATGTAAATCCTGGGGTAGATGAATGTTAAGAAAACTGTTGAACAGATCGTGGAACACTGACTAGCAATTACCATGGAATTTGTAACTTGCACACACCTATAATATCAAGATTTGTTAACGCTAACGACACAAACCTAGGGCTTTCAATCCGAGAACAAGCAGCAACTTATTTACAGCGCAAATGACAGGCCGGCCCCAACTTAGCTGCGTTTTCCAGGTGTTGGAATCAACTAGAACGAAGGTTGACGGAGATAAAGCGTAACTGGCTGATACGAAACGCAAAGAAAGTCCAGAGATACGTTGAGGGCAGTGAAACGACGATTTTCTTCGTGTCTTTCAACGCAGGCTTTGGTTTTCAACCTACTGAAATTGTGCCGTCACTCAACTCTAGTGGAACAATCTGCTTTAGAGAAAATAAGCAAATCTGGATTGCTGGGAAGATCGGCTGTGTGTGTCCCCAGCCGCCTATCTTCAGTTTGCGAAGAAGTCCTGAGCAGACTAACTCCAGTTGAAATTAGTTCTGATTCTGTCATCTCTGCGGAAGTCAAGGCAAAACAACTTCACTGGAAAGACTTAAAAGGCTGCCTCGGTTCTAGCGGAAAGCTAAAAACACGGTGGCCCTCAATTTCTGAGTGGAATGACCTTATCACGTAGTTAAGGCTATTAAGGTTCAACCATAACGGCTGCGATATTCCAGGCCCGGTTCCTTGGGAGATGAGAGAAGTCTTGGGAAGGCCAAAGTAGTAGGAACAATGTATTATGTACACAAGAGATAAGAGAAGTCTTGACTGCCGGAGTGCACGTATAGCCGCCAGGCGAGCTAGGTCTGGAGTGATGGCTGGACGTAGACAAGCGGAAGTCTAAAAACACGGTGGCCCTCAATTTTTGAGTTGAATGACCTCGTCTCAGGCAAGTCGAAAGGTGTATAAACTTTAAAGACTGGAATTCAAATCAAATACTGAATCTACGAGAAGCTAGTCAACAGCTGGTGAATGCATTCCAGCCTGGGTAGTATTGCCTCCTATACACGGATGACTGTTCAGTAAACACCAAAGGTGAAGCGTACACCCAGCTGAACCAAAGTACTTTGCAGCGGGATTTACCGATTTCGATCTGGCCTTTAGCACGGAGCATCCCGTGATCATGTAGCAATTAGTACCAATATTGGAATTCATCCAGCGTAGGACAGCTGCCAATAAAAATTCCTTCGAAGGAATTAGTAACTGGGTTTAAACATCTCAAGGGACATAAAAGCAGACAACGTATTCACGGCTTCTATTTTCGGAAGGTCCCAAAGTCCAGTCTGAGGCCGCTGTGATTAATAATTTTACTTCAAATTTGAGACATAAAATGCACTTTTGCTCGCAGAATTCTGCTTCGAGGTGAAGACCTGAACAAGGTTTCGAAAAGAATCGAGAAAACTATATTAGCTTCAGTTAAATCGCTGGCAAAAGATGCTGGCTGTTCTGTCGCATGAGCAAAGCCCAGGCCCTAAGGTCCTGGAATCGACTGTCCTATTGGACGGCTTTGCTATACCGACGCAAATTAACCTTATGTTGATCGGACACGTAGTGGAGTTAGTGGCTACTAACTTGCCGAAATGACTTTTTCGGTGTGAATGTCGTTGCAGGTGCCCGCGGGCGAAAAAAACGATGTAACAAGGAAACATTGAAGAACTGACTGAGAAGTCTGGAAAACCCGGCATGATATCGGTACGATTGACGACCTTTCGTAGGTAGAGGAACAACAATCTTCTGAGCCAATCGAAAACAGGTGACTGAGAAGAACGCACAATCAGTATAGTTGCGCGAGATGTGGGTGAGTTGGCTTTGAGTTCGCTGTTTGTAAATGCGTGTTGTGGTATCAGAAAAAAATAGTATCTCCGCTTGTTGGCGAAGCCAATTAACATGAATCAATGAGGTGGAACAGAGGCAAAAAGAGCAGACAGTGAAAAAAACGCAAGATTCTAGCGAGTCTCAGCCCGATCTTAGGCTACTTGCGAGTCCTGATGAGCCGAGCTTGACCGCTGTGCTATTTTTACCCTCGATACCGCCAACGCCCGTGAACAGAAAAGAAGGCATGAAGTGAAGAAGATTTGTCGCGACAGCTTGATACCCTAGACGCTGCGGCTTTTAGGCTCGATCCCGAAAAGAAGGAGGGGGCAGTTGGCCGCCAGTTGATGTATGCTGTACAAAAAGAAGGCAAACATCTGGTGCCGAGAGAGCGGCGTCCCGTTGCTAATGGAGCAGTTGTCAAAGTGGCTTTAGCGAGGGCATGTCGGAGTTTGCCTTGGAGTTGATTAGCCGATCCGGTCGCTGGACGGAGCATCTGGACGCCAGTTGGGAGGATATTGTATCATGCGCAAAGGTCTGGGAGAACAGATTGGAATAATTTGGCAGCCAGGCACCGCCAGAGAAAACTTCCCGTTGGTACTGGAACAGAGCGGGTAGAGCGGCTTGAATGAGGGCAAGTCTGAGTTCGCCTTGAAGTTGATTAACCGATCTATATAACCGTGATTGGCCGAGAAGGAAAAGGTCACATGGTAAGCGCCTGTAGA